TTTAAAGACTAACAAAATGGTTTATTAGGTGATGAGCTTTTGTGGGCCAGACCCACTTCCTCAGATCAAATAGTGGAAGAAAATTGGCATGACCATATATATCAAAAGGATACAATCAACAAAAGTGAACACACATAAAATTGACAAATCAGATTTCCCACCATCTGTTCTAAAATCTGATTTGTCAATTTTATGTGTGTTCACTTTTGTTGATTGTATCCTTTTGATATATATGGTCATGCCAATTTTCTTCCACTATTTGATCTGAGGAAGTGGGTCTGGCCCACAAAAGCTCATCACCTAATAAACCATCTTGTGAGTCTTTAAAGTGCTGCATAGTCCTGTCTTTTGTTTCAGCAAGACCAGACTAACACGGCTACATCTCTATTACTATTCTACTATGAGTATATGCACACTACCACTGGGGAATTTGTTAATAGTTTGCAGTGTAGATGTAGCCTGCAGTGTAGACGGAGCCTAAGAGTAGATAAATTAGCTATACCTATTAAATTCTTTGGAAAATGAGGCTACTGTCTAAAGCCATCTGAGACCTAGTGAACCTCCAGCTTTCACTCCCAAAGAAACATATTAAAAGAACAAAATTGTGTATTAATAGACAAGAAACTAAACAAAATTTGCGTAAGTGTTATTTTAAAGTGGCTGTGCTCCATGGTACTGATTGGGGGAAAAGATTTTGACCCAAACGGAAACCCTACCAAAAAGGAGAATTTGCCAGAGCCCTAAAATGTATTATTTTGTCTGCTAATCAGTTGTTGATTTGTTAAACAATGCCAAAAGGAGGAAAGCACTGAGAGAGCCGACAGCTCACAGAAGACACTAGCTTTTCCTATATTGTTTCAGTATTTTCTCTTTTGCTTTTTTTCTATATTTTCTTGATAGTTAACGGTTAGAAATCAAGCGTGTTCATGTTCATAGACATAGGTTAAAATGATTTTAATGGAAAATTTCAACTGACCTGAAATACACTCACATGTAATGCTTTATTCATGCCAGTATCAATTTTTGAGGCTGTTTCTAGCTTATTTCCAGTTTGTGTCTGAGGTTTATCTCTGCGATAAGAGTCAGATGATGTTAAACCCATACAAATAATTGAAGTGGATTTTATAGTGAGTATTAAACAAATAAACCCATAAAAACAGAGCTCTAACAATGGGTCTGCAAACCAGACTTCTTAAATTAAACATAAACATTCAGAACCTGAAAATGTTTTCCCACTGTCTGCCTCATTAGAACTGTAAGTATTATATTATGATGGTATTAAAAGACCCATCCATGCAGTCTGATTAGTTCAGATTGTCACTCAAATTTCTTTTTAGACAATCCTTTATTATTTTTGAAAACATCAAAAATCTACCGACCGAAACCAAAGTGTCAGGATGTGATTTTTAAACTTTGATATTTTCATGTACCTGTACAATATATTTTCAAAGAGAAAAGAGTGAATAATTTGCAATGAATTATTCATTTGATTAATGTAGCCTTTCTGCGGTAGCCATGAGCAGAGATATCAGTTTTCTCAAATTTATTCATTCTTTAAATTTGACAAATAAATTCCAGACTTTATTTTATGTTATGGTGTCATCATGAATATGTAAATGTAAATCCACGGTGCTTCGCTGAGATTGATTAGATAAGTCACGTGGTATTTTTTCGCATCCCTGAACTGCAGTGTTCAAGTTTTAACAGCCCAGTTCCCCTATATAGGACTTTGCAGGTGCAAGTAAAATATGTTTGCTCGCATGTTCAAAGCAAAAAGGGACAAAGTGTCACTACGGTGTGAACAATATAGACCAATATTAGTGGAGCTTTATTTGCAATAGCTCAGCATTTTGCTAGACTGTTTAATTTTCTACAAAGGTTTGAGTAGGTAAAAAACCCTCCTAAGGATTTCAAGGTAAGCAGGAGTAGGCGCTTAGGCGTGGTCTACACTAGATCATGAAGGCTGGCTTAAAGTATACAACTCCAGCTGCACAAAATGCATAGCTGGAGTCAGCTTACCTTAAGCCAAGCCTGGGTGGCATCCACACTGCAGGGGGCCGACGGAAGCAAATGCTCCCATCATAGAATCATAGAATCATTGGAAGAGACCTCAGGAGGTCACCATGTCCAGCCCCCTGTCCAAGGCAGGACCAATCCCAACTAAATCAACCCAGCCAGGGCTTTGTCAAGCCGGGACTTAAACACCCCTAGGGATGGAGATTCCACCCTAGGTAACCCATTCCAGTGCTTCACCACCCTCCTAGTGAAATAGTTTTTCCTAATATCCAACCTAGACCTCGCCCACTCAGGGCCAGACAGAGGCATGGGCGAGCCGGCAACCGCTGGGGGATGCCTGATGGCAGCTGTAAGGGGTGCGCGGTGTCCCTTACAGCTGCCATCAGGTGCCGCGCGCCTGGCTCCCGCAGCACTGGCCCTGTGGCGCCGACCGGCAGCGCCCTTCCCCCCACGGCCATGGGGCCCTGCACAACCCGGCGCGCACGCCAGCAGTGCAGGCCAGGCCAGGATGGGCAGCGCATGTGCCTTGCGCCCCGGGGGCGGGCCCCGGGCTGTGCACCAGCGGCTGTGGCTGGTCCGCGCATGCGCCATACATCCTGGAGCCGGGCCCGCACACCCTGGAGGGGATGGGCCCGTGCCCCACAGGTGGGCCCGCATATGCGCCATGCGCCCGGGGGCGGCACCACATGCTCTGGCACAGGGTGCTAAAAGGGCTCGGGCCAGCCCTGCTCCCACTGTAAATTGAGACCATTGCTCCTTGTTCTGCCATCCGTCACTACTAAGAACAGCCTCTCTCCACCCCCTTTGGAACCTCCCTTCAGGAAGTTGAAGGCTGCTCTCAAATCCCCCCTCACTCTTCTCTTCTGAAGACTAAACAAACCCAAATCCCTCCGTCTCTCCTCACAGATCATGTGCTCCAGCTCCCTACTCATTTTGGGCACCCTCCACTGGACCCTCTCCAATGCATCCACATCCTTTCTAGAGTGGGGGCCCCAGAACTGGACACACTACTGGAGATGTAGCCACATCAGAGCTGAATAAAGGGGAATAATCACTTCTCTAGATCTGCTGGTAATGTTCCTCCTTATGCACCCTAATATGCCATTAGCCCTCTTGGCTACAAGGGCACACTGTTGACTCATATCCAGCTTCTCATCCACAATAATCCCCATCGGCTTCCCTCTGTCCTTGCAAAAGGAGGAGTACTGAATGGTGGTGGGGAGACTGTCCTCAGCATTCCACTTAGCCAGTCTGTATTAGACCCACTAAATCAAATACTAGAAGATGGATCTCTGGAGTTGATCTACTAAGCATAGATGTGACCTCAATAAGGAGTGTCTTTAAACACTGAGGTGAAAGTTTGATTCCACAGTGGCAAAATCCATTGATTGCAGTGGAGGCAGAATTTCTCTCCAGATATGATGGCCCCAGTCTGCAAACTGTGCTGGGCAACTCTTGTGAAGGTGTGAAAACCAACCTCCTTTTCCAGTTAACTAATATCCTGGAGGTCAGAGACTAAATTTGGCCAGAGGCCCATGCTTTCTAAGGAGAGTTGAAGCCCCTCAGCTCCTCCCAAAATAACCTGAGCCCCACTCAGGCTCAGATCACATTTTCTAGAAGTCATTAAAAAAAAAAGAGGATCTGGGTTGTGGTCCTTTTGCAAAATAATGGAGCATTGTTTCCAATGAAACAATGGGCCAGTTTTCAAATGGCTGTGATTCTTCTATTATTGACTGACAAGCCTTTCTCCTTGGGGACTATAGGCCAAGTGGTACCTAAAGAATTACGCATCAGGTAGCAAAGCAAGCCACTGCCAGAGGAAAACTACCTGAGTGCCGCCCAGGGAGCCTTTCCATCCTTAGCTTACAGCAGCCCCCAGGTTAAAGACGCTTCTAGACTGCCACAAACCACTTCCCCAGCAAAGAAACCGCCCGCCCCCCCTACACACACACTGGACCGGCGCGGCTCCGAGCTACCGCCGCGCCTGTATGGCGCTGAAGTTCGCGAGCGCTTCAGATGCGCGGATCGGATTAGGGGCTGCGGACGGACAGACTCCAGCCTTCCCCCAGCCCCAAGGACCAGCCACAGACAACAGCTTGGCCCTTCGCTATGGTCCCTGAGCCCCCCTTCCTCCTTCCTGAGGCGGGTTCGAGACTTCAGCCCGCCTTCCTCGGCTAGGGGCGCATTGGGACCCTCCGCCCAGCCCTGCATTTCCCAGCGGGTGCTTAGCTGCTAGGGTCCGTTTCCTGCCGGTGGGGCTTTGCCAGTCCCACATGCCCCTGACAACCCTCCGCGTCCTGGAGCCCGAGCTTGCAGACAAAGCGCCGTCTGGCCGGTGCCGGGGCTAGGCGCGCTGACACCTGGGCTGTAATGCTGGGGGCGCGCTGGGGACTCTTGGTCTCCAGCGCCCCATTTCGACCGTCAAGCCCCTTCGGGCAGGGTCCCGGCCCTCTGCAGGGCTGCGCCCCCTCACAGCGGCACCTCCGCGCCAGTCCCAGCGGTGCGTCTGGGGAGAGAAACGTGGCTCCCCCCTACCCCGGCCACTCTCCATCTCTCGCCAAGGGCAGCTACCCGGGCCAAGCATCCCCCGTCCAGGGTCCGGTTCCCATAGCAATCTCCCAGACACCGGTTGCCAAGGCAACCACCTCCTCCGGCTCCGTCTAGGGTCCGGCTGCCGGCCCTGGCCTGGGACCCAGCCCCCCTCGGTGCAGCTGCTCAGCCCGGCTGGGAAGTTACTTCCTGGCTGGTTCCCCCGCGCCCCGCGCGCTGCCCGGGCCGCGCTACCTTCCAGACAGCAGACCCTCCAGAGCCCCGAGTGCGTGAGGTCCCCCTTCGCCTTGCGGGGCTGGCTCTGCGGCTCCTCCATGCTCAGGTTGGTCCCGTTGCAGGGACCCAGCCCCCCTCGGTGCAGCTGCTCAGCCCGGCTGGGAAGTTACTTCCTGGCTGGTTCCCCCGCGCCCCGCGCGCTGCCCGGGCCGCGCTACCTTCCAGACAGCAGACCCTCCAGAGCCCCGAGTGCGTGAGGTCCCCCTTCGCCTTGCGGGGCTGGCTCTGCGGCTCCTCCATGCTCAGGTTGGTCCCGTTGCAGATGTGCGCGCTCGAGTAGAGCCAGTAGTCGGTGCCGATGGCGATGGTCATGAGGCTGAAGGCGGCGAAGGCGCCCACCGTGGTCAGCAGCATCTGGACCCCACGGTCACACCACCCCATGGTGCTTCATAGTCCCCCGCCGCGCCGGCTCAGGGGGGCTGCGAGCGAGACAGGCGCGCCGCG